TTTATCTTTTCATAAAAAAATTTTTTTTTTTTTCCCAAAAAAATTTTTGCGAATAGAATGACATTTTTTCAGAAAGGGGCTTGCGCAATCAAAGGCTAAAATCAAGGAGTCGCTTTGCGGTTCTTTTTATCGGTATGCCCCACACAATGCATTTCAAACTACTGCCCAAGCACAAGCAGGAGGACCACCAAGGCACGCATCTCCGGGAAAATTTCCTGCCCGAATTTTTGGGGTATGGAATGTGAAGCTGCGAAAAAAAACCGAGATCGAAAAGGGGGGTAAAAAAGCTCTCAATAGGGGAAATGAAAAAAGGATCCTCATTTAAAAGCAGTTTGATGCAAAAAAAGGTCCCAATTCGCTCGGTCAAATTCCCAAATTTGGGGCTACAAGGTGGTGGTGAATAGGGAAAAAAGAAAGGATGATTGGAAAAAAATCGCTGCCCATGCAAGTCCCGGGAGGACAGCCCAGGAAAAGTCTAGTACAGTTGAGGAAGAGCAAACTGAGAGATCGATGTAAAGAGAGAGAGAAATGAGTTTGAGGATAAAAATTTGAGTGGGATTTTCCCATATTTAAAACATGGGGGGGGAAGGGAATGGGGAAATGCCCCAATTAAAATCCCCAGGGGGGGTCAATAAAGGACACCCCCCCTCCCCCCCGGGGAAAGGGAGCTTTAAAAAAATCGCCAAGTAACAGAAGTGGTGGTGGAAAGAAAAAAACCAGAAATCGCATCGGGGAAATAGTTAATTTCCCAGAAAAGAGAGATACAAAGAACAACAGTTTGTATACCACTTTTTCCCAAGTGGATGTGGACAGCAGTGTAATGCGAAAAAGTATGAACAAAGATTTTGAGGGTTATGGAATACGGGTGCGAAATTAAAAAGTCCCACTTTCAAAAGCCCGTTTTTTTTGGGGAAAAGGATCTGATGAATATAAAAAAAACCATGGGCCCAAGATGGGATGGATAAAAGAAAGGCTTTAATTTGGATTCTTGTAAACAAACAAAACAGAGGAGAAACGGGGAGAGCAACACCTGAAACTCACCCCCAGTTACCTTTTGAGCCCAGGGATTTTCCAACTGAAATTTAACCCCATGTTTATTAAAAGAAAGAAAAAAAAAGAAAGAGGTATCTATGGACTAGAAGCGTTAAAAAAATTGGGGGGGAAAAAAAAAAAAGGGGGTTAAAAAGGAAAAAAAGGAAGGGGGAAAAAGGGGGGGGGGGAGGGGGGAAAAATTTTCCAAATTTTAAATTTTAAAATTTTAAAAATTTTTTCCCAAAAACAAGGGGTTTTTTTTAAAAAAGGGGGGGGGGAAAAAGGGGGAAAAAAAATTTTAAAAAAAAAGGTTTGGGGGGGGGGGGGGGAACGGGGGGGGGGAAAAAAGGGGGGGGGCCCCGGGGGGAAAGGCCCGGGGGGCCCAAAAGGGGGAAATTAAAAGGGGGGGAAAAAAATTAAAACCCCAAAAAAAAATTTTTAAAAAAGGGGAAAAAAAGGGAAAAAAGGGGGAAAAAGGGGGGGGGAAAAAAAAAAGGGGGTTTTAAAAAAGGGGGGGTTTAAAAATTTTTGGGGGGTTTTTTTTTGGGGTTTTTGGGGAAGGGGGGTTTTTTTTTGGTTTTAAAAAAAAGGGGGGAAAAAAGGGGGGTTTTGGGGGAAAAAAAAAAAGGGGGGGTTTAAAGGGGGGAAAAGGGGGAAAGGGGGGGGTTTGGGGGGGGAAAAGGGGGGAAATTTTTTAAAAAGGGGTTTGGAAAAAAACCCCCCCCAAAAAAAAAAACCCCCTTTTTTAAGGGGGCCCCCCAAAAAATTTTTTTTTTGGGGAAGGAAAATTGGGGGGGGAAAAAAAGGGGGAAAAACTTAAAAAAGGGGGGGTGCCAAAAAATTGGGGTTTTTGGCCGGCCCCCCGGGGGGGCCCCGGTTTTAAAAAAGGGGAAAAACCCCCAAAAAAAAAAAAAGGGGGGGGGCCCCCAAAATTTAAAGAGGGGCCAAAAAGGGGGGTTTTGGGGGGGGGAAAAGGGTTTTTTCCTTTCCCCCTTTGGGGGGGAGGCCCTTTTTTTTTTTTTTCCCCGGGGTTTTAAAATTAAAAATTTTTAATTTTTTGGGAAAATTTTTTAAAAAAAAAAAAATTTTTTTTAAAAAACCCCGGGGGGGGGGGAAAAAAAGGTTTTTTAAAATTGGCCAAACTTTTCCCGGGGGAAAATTTAAAGGGGTTTCCAAAAAAAAAAATTTTTTTTTTTAAAAAAGGGGGGGGGGGGAAAAAAAAGGTTTTTTTTTTGAAAATGTTTAAAGGGGAAAATTTTTTTCCCAAATTTTTAAAAAAGGGGCCCAAAAAGGGGGGCCCAAAAAAGGGAAAAGGGGGGGGGAGATTTTTTGGGGGGGGGGGGGGCCGGGTTTTTGGGGGGGCCCCCGGGGGGGGGAAAAAAAAAAAAAGGGGCAATTTTGGGGGAAAGGGGGGGGAAAGGGGGGGAAAACCGGGCCCCGAAAACCCCGGGGGGAAATTAAAAGGGGGGGTTTTTTTTTTGGCCCCGGGGGGGGGCCCCCTTTTTTGGGGGCCCTTGGAAAAAAATTTTTTTTTTCCCTTTTTTTGGGGGGGTTAACCCCTTTTTTTTGGGGGAAATTTAGGGGGTTTTTTTGACAAAAAAATTTTTTTCGGGGGAAAAAAAAAAAAAAAAAAGGGGGGGGGGGGGTGGGGGGGGGGGGGAAAAAAAAAATGGGCCCCGGGGCCCCTTTAAAAAAATTAAAAAACCCCCCCAAAATTTTTTTCCCCCCCCCCTTGGAAATTTTTCCCCCCCGGGGTTTAAAAATTAAAAACCAAAAAAAACCCCCCGGGATTTGGGGGGGGGAAAAAAATAAAAAATTTTTTTGGGGAAAAAAACCCCCCCCCCAAAGGGGGGGGGAAAACCCCCCTTTAGAAAAATTTTTAAAAAACCAAAAAAAGGGGGGAAAAAATTAATTTAAAAAAAAAACCCCCTTTTTTAAAGGAGGGGGGGGAAAAAAAAAAAGGGGGAAAAAGGGGGAAGGGGGGAAAAACCGGGGGGGGGGAAAAAAGAAAAAGGGGGGAAAAAAGGGGAAAAAGGGGGGGGAAAAGGGGGGGGGAAAAAAATTTTTTTCAAAAAAAAAAAATTTTTTTTTTTTTTTAATTTAAAAAGTTTAAAAATTTTTTAAGGGGTTTTTTTAAAAAATTTTTTGGGGGGTTTGGGGGAAAAATTTTTAAAACCCCCAAAAAAAACCCCTTTCCCCCCTTTTTTTTCCCCTTTTTTTTTTCCCTTTAAAAGAATTTTTAAACTTTTAAAAATTTTTTTTTTTTTTAAAAACCCAAATTTTTTTAAAAAAAACCCCCCAAAGGGGTTTTTTTCCCGGGGTTTTTTTAAAAAAATTTTTTTTTTTTTTTTTTTTTAAAAAAAAATTTTTTGGGGGGGAAAAAAAAAAAAAAAAGGGGGCCCCCCAAAAAAAAAGGAAAAAGGGAATTGGGAAAAAGGAAACCCCCCCCAATTTCCCCAAAAAAAGGAAAAAATTTTTGGGGGGGAAAAAAAAAAAGGGGGGAAAAAAAATTTTGGGGGGGGGGAGGGGCCAAAAGAAAAAAAGGGGAAAAAAAAGGGAAAAGGGGGGGGGGGGGAAAAAAAAAAAAAAAGGGGAAAAACCTTTTTTTTCCCCCCCCCCTTTTTTTTTTTTTCCCCCAAAACCCTTTAAAGGGGAAATTTTCCCAAAAAAAAAAAAAATTTTTTTTTTCCTTGGGAAGGGAAAAAAAATTTTTTAAAGGGAAATTTTAAAAATTTTTTTTTAAAAAACCCTTTTTTTTTGGGAAAAAAAAAAAATTTTTTTTTTAAAAAAAAAACCCCCCCCCAAAAAATAAAATTTTTTTAAAAAAAAAAAATTTTTTTTAAAAAAAAAAAAAATTTTTTTTTTTTTTTGGGGAAAAAAAATTTTTTTTTTTAAAATTTTTTAAAAACCCTTTTAAAAAATTTTTTGGGCCCCAAAAAAAAAAAAAAAAAAAAAAAAAAAAAAATTTTTTAAAAAAAAAAAAATTTTTTTTTTTTTTTCCCCCTTTTTTAGGGGCCCCCCTTCTTTTAAAAAAGGGGGTTTTTTAAAAAATTTTTTTTTTTTTTTTTGTTTTCCCCAAAAAAAAAAAAAAAATTTTTTTTTAAAAAAAAATTTTTTTTTTTAAAATTTTTTTTCCAAAAAAAAAAAAAAAAACCCGGTTGCCCCAAAAAAAAAAAAAAAATTTTTTTTGGGGTTTCCCTTTTTTTTAAAAAAAATTTTTCCCCCCCAAAGGGCCCCCTTTTTAAAAAAAAAAGAAAATTTTAAAAACCCAAAAAAATTTTTGGGGTTTAAAAACCCCCCCTTTTTTTAAAAAAAAAAAATTTTAAAAAATTTTTTTTTAAAAAGGGGGGGTTTTGGAAAGTTTTTTCCCAAAAAAAATTTTTTTTTAAAAACCCCCCCCTTTTTTTAAAAAAAAAAAAAAAACCCCCCCCCCAAAAAAAAAAGGGGGGAAAAAAAAAATTTTTTTTAAAAAAAAAAAAAAACCCCAAAAAAACCCCCCCCAAACCCCCCCCCCCCCAAAAAAAAGGTAAAAAAACCCCCTTTAAAAAAAAAAAAGGGGTTTTTTTTAAAAAAAAAAAGGGGGAAAAAACCCCCCTTTAAAAATTTTTTTTTTTCCCCCCCGTTTAAAATCCAAAATTTGTATTTTCCTTTAAAAAAATTTTTTTTTTTTTAAAAATTATTTTTTTTTTAAAATTCCCCTTTTTTTAAAAATTTTGGGGTTTTTTTTGGAAAAACCCCTTTTCCCCCAAAATTTTAAAACCCCAAAATTTTTTTAAAGGCCCCCCAAAAAAAATTTTTGGTTTTTTTTTTTTAAAAATCCAAAATAAAATTTTTTTAAAAAAATTTTTTTTTTTTTTAAAAAAAACCAAAATTCCAAAAAACAAAATTTTTTTATTTTTTAAACCCCAAAAAAATTAAAAATTTTTTTGGGAAAAATTTTTTTCCCAAAGGGGAAAATTTGGGGTTTTTGGGGGGGGGGGGAAAAAATTTCCCCCAAAACCCGGGTTTTTTTTCCCCCCCCCCCCCCGGGGTTTAAAATTTTTCCCCCCCAAATTTTTTTAAAAAAAATTTGGGGCCCCCCCCCCAAAAAAAAAGGGGGGGGGGAAAAAATTTTTTTTGGGGGGGAAAAAAATTTCCCCCTTTAAAAAAAACCCCCCTTTTTTTAAAAAAAATTTTTTTTTTTTATTAAAAAATTTTAAAAATTTTTTTGGGGGAAAAAAAAAAAGGGGGGAAGGAAAAAAAAAAGGGGGGGGTAAAAAAAAAAAAAAAACAAAAAAAATTTTTTTTTAAAAAATCTTTAAAAATTTTTTTTTTCAAAAAACCAAAAAGGGGGGTTTTTTGGGGGGGGGAAAAAAAAAAAAAATTTTTTGGGGGGCCCCAAATTTTTTAAAAATTCTGGAAAAAAAATTTTTTTTTTTTTTAAAAAATTTTAAAAAAAAAAATTTTAATTAAATTTTTGGGGGTTTTTTTAAAAAAAAAAATTTTTTTTAAAAAAAATTTTTTAAAAAAAAAACCCCCCAAAAAAAAAAATTAAATTTTGGGAAAAAATTTTTTGGTTTCTTTTTTTCCCCCCCAAAAAAAAACCCCCGAAATTTTCTTAAAAATTTTTTTTTCCCCTTTTTTTTTTTTTTTGGGGGGGGGGGTTTTTTTTTGGGGGGGGGGGGGGGGGGGGGGGGGGAAGGGGGGGGGGGGTTTGGGGGGGGGGGCGGGGGGGGGTTTTTTTTTTTTAAAAAAATTTTATAAAAAAATTTTTAAAGGGAAAAAGGGGGGGGGGGAAAATTTTCCCCCCAAAAGTTTTGGGAAATTTTTTTTTTAAAAAAAAAAATTTTTTTTTTTCCTTAAAAACCCGGCCCGGTTTTTTGGGTTTTTTCCAAACCCCAAAAAACCAAATTTTTTTTAAAAAAAAAAAAAAAAAAAATTTTTTTTTTTAAATTTTTTTTTTTTTTAAAGGGGGGGAAAATTTTTAAAAAAATGGTTCTTTAAAAAAAAAAAAAAAGTTAAAAATTTTGGGAAAAAAAAAAATTAAAAATTTTCCCCCCCCGGGGCCCCCCCCCCCCCCAAAAAATTTTATGAAAGGGGGTTTTTTTTTGGGGGGGAAAAGGTTTTTTTTAAAAAAAAAAAAAAGGGGGTTTTTTTTTAAAAAACCCAAAAAAAAAAAAAAAAAAAAATTAAAAAAAAATTAAAATTAAAAAAAAAAAGGTTTTTTTTTAAAATTTTTTTTAAAAAAAAAAAAAAAATTTTGGTTTTTAAAAAAAAAAAAAGGGGGGAAAAAAAATTTTCCCCTTTTTTTAAATTTTTTAAAAAATTTTTTTTAAAAAAAAATTTGGGGGGGCCCCAAAAAAAAAAATTTTTTTTTTTTTTTAAAAAAAAAGGGGGGAAAAAAATAACCCGGGGGGGGTTAAAAGGGGGAAAAAATTTTTAAAAAAAGGGGGGCCCCCCCCGGGGTTTTTTTTTTGGGGAAAAAAAAAAAAAAAAAAAAAAAAGGGAAAAAAACAAAAAACCCCCAAAAAAACCCCAAGGGAAAAAAAAATTTTTTTTAAAAAAAAAAAGCCTTTAAAAAACCCCCCCAAAAAAAAATTTTTTAAAAAAAATTTTTTTTTTTTTTTAAAAAAATTTTTAATTTCAATTAAAAAAAAAAAAAAATTTTTTTTAAAAAAAAAAAAAAAACCCCCAAAAAATTGGGGGGGGGGCCCCTTTTTTTTTTTTTTAAAAAAAATTTTTGGGAAAAAGGTTTTCCCCAAAAAAAAAATAAATTTTTAAAAAAAAAAAATTTTTTTTTTTAAAAAGGGGGAAATTTTTTTTTTAAAAAAAAAAAATTTTTTTTTTAAATTTTGGGGCCCCCCAAAAAAAAACCCGGTTTAAAAAGGGGTTTGGGGGGGGAAAACAAATTTTTAAAAAAAAGGGGGGGGGGAAAAAAAAACCCTTTTTTTTTTTTTTCCGGTTTTTTAAAAAAATTTTAAAAAAAAGGGTTTTTTTTAAAAAAAAAAAAAAATTCCTAAACCCCCAATTTTAATTTTTTTTAAAAAAAAAAAAAAATTTTGTAAAAAAAAAAAAAAACAGGGAAATTTAAAAAATTTTTTTTGGGGGTTGGGGGGTTTTTTTGGGGAAAAAATTTTTTTTTGGTTTTTTTTTTTTTTAAAATTGTTTTTTTTTTTCCTTTGGGGGGTTTTTTTTTAAAAAAAAAAAGGGGAAAGGAAAGGAAAAAAAATTTTTTTTCCCCCCCCTTTTTTAAAAAAATTTAAAAATTTTTTCCCAACCTTTAAAAAAATTTCCCCCCCTTTTTTTTTTTTTTTTTTTTTTTTTCTTTTTTTTTTTTTTTTTTTTTTTAAAAATTTTTTTTGGGGGAAAAAAATTGGGTTTTGGGGTTTTTAAACCAAAACTTTTTTCCCCAAAATTTTTTTTTTTTTAATAAAACTTCCCTTTAAAATTTTTTTTTCCCCCCCCAGGGGCCCCCAAAAAATTTTTTTCCCCGAAATTTTTTAAAGGGGGGAAAAAAAGGGGGGGGGTTTTTTTTTTAAAAGGGGGGAAAAAAAGGGGGGGGGGGTTTTTTTGGGGGGAAAAAAAAAAAAAAAAAAAAAAAAAAAAAGGGTTTTTTTTTTTAAAAAAAAAAGGGAAAAAAAAAAATAAAAAAAAAAGGGAAAAAAGGGAAAAAAAGGAAAAACCCCCTTTTTTAAAAAAAAAAAAGGAAAAAAAAAAAAAGGGGGGGAAAAATTTTAAAAAAAAAGGGGGAAAAAAAAAAAAAAAAAAGAAAAAAAAAAAAGGGGGGGAAAAAAAAAAAAAAAAAGGGGAAAGGGGGGGGAAAAAAAAGAAAAAAAAAAAAAAAAAGAAAAAAAAGGAAGGGGGTTTTTTTTTTTTAAAAAAAGGGGTTTTAAAAAAAATTCAAATTTTTTTTTTTTTTTGGGGGGAAAAAAAAAAATGGAAAAAAGGGGGGGGGGTTTTTTTTTTAAAAAAATTTTTTTGGGAAAAAGGGGCCAAAAAAGGGGGGTTTTTTTTTAACCCCAAAAAGGGGGGAAAAAAATTTTTTGGGGGGGGGGTTTTTTTTTGGGGGGTTTTTTCCCCCCTTTTTTCAAAAAAAGGGTTTGGGAAAAAATTTTTTTTTTAAAAAAAAAGGGGAAAAAAAAAATTTTTTTTTTTTTTTTAAATTGTTTTTGTATTTTAAAAATTTTTAAAAAAAGGGGGGGAAAAAAGGGGCCCCCCCCCAAAAAAAAAAACCCAAACCCCCCCCCTTTTTTTTTTTCCAAACCCTTTTTTTAAAAAAAAAGGGGGGGAAAAAAAAAAAAAAAAAAAAAAAAACCCTTTAAAAAAAAAAAAGGGGAAAGGGGCCCCGGGGAAAAAATTTTTTTTTTCCAAAAAATTTTCCCCCCAAAAAATTTTTTTTACCCGGGGTTTTTAAAATTTTTAAAAAAAAATTTTTTTTTTAAAAAAAAAAATTTTTGTTTTTTAAAAAAAAAAATTTTTTTATTTTGGGGGGCAAAAAAGGGGGAAATTTTTCCCCCCCCGGTTCCCTTTTTAAAAAAAAAAATTTTTAAAAAAAAAAAAAAAAGGGGGGGGAAAAAAAAAAATTTGCCAAAATTTTGGGTTTAAAAAAATTTTTTTTTTAAAAAAGGGGAAGGCCCCTTTTTTTTTTTAAAAAAAAATTTTTTTTAAAAAAATTTAAAAAAAAATTTTTGAAAAAAGGGACCTTTTTTAAAAAAAAAAAAAAAAAATTTTTTTTTGGGGCCCCCCCCCTTTTTTTTTCCCCTGTTAAAATTTTAAATTTTTTTTTAAAAATTTTTAAAGGGGGTTTTTTTTAAAAAACCCCCTTAATTAAAATTTTTTTAAAAAACCTTTTTTTTTGGGCCCCTTTTTTTCCCGGGGGGGCCCGGGGGCCTTTTTAAAAAAAAAATTTTTAAAAAAAAAAAAAAATTTTTTTAAACCCTTTTTTTTGGGTTTTTTTTTTTTAAAAAAAAAAGGGGTTTTTTTTTTTTTTGGCCCTTTTTTAAAAATTTTTTTTTTTAAAAAAAAAAATAAAATTTTTAAAAAAAGGGTTTTCCCCTTTTTGGGGGCCTTTTTAAAAAAAAAGTATTTTTTTTCCCAGGGTTTTCCCTTTGGGGGGGAAAAAAAAAAAAAAAAAAAAGGGGGGGGGGAAAGGGGGGGAAAAAAAAAAGGGGGGGGGGGGAAGGGAAAAAAAAAAGGGGGAAAAAAAAAAAAGGGGGAAAAAAAAAAAAAAGGGGGGAAGGGGGAAAAAAAAAAAAGGGGGGGAAAAAAAGGGGGGGGGAAAAAAAAAAAAAAAAAGGGAAAAAAGGGGGGGGCGGAAAAAAAAAAGGGGAAAAAAGGGGGAAAAAAAAAAAAAAAAAAAAAAAGGGGGGGGAAAAAAAAGGGGGGGAAAAAAAAAAAAAAAAAAGGAAAAGGGGGGGGGGAAAAAAAAAAAATTTCAAAAAAATTTTTTTTTTAAAAAAAAAATTTTTTTTCCCCCCGGGTTTTTGGGGGGGGGGAAAAAAAAATTTTTTTTTTTTTTCCCCCTTTTTTTTTTCCCCCCCCCCCTTTTTCCCCTTTCCCCCCCTTTTTAAAAACCCCTTTAAAAAATTTTTTTTAAAACCCCCCTTTTTTTTTTTGGGCCCCCCCAAAAAATTTTTTGGGGAAAAAAAAAGGGCCCTTAAAAACCCAAAAAAGGGGAAACCCCCGGGGGGGCCGGGCCCCCCCCCCCCCTTTTCCCCCCCCCTTTTGGGGGAACCCCCCCCCCAAAAAAAAAAAATTTTGGGGCCCCTTTTTTTTCCCCCCCCCCAAAAATTTAAAACCCCCCCTTTTTTTTTTTTTAAACCCCCCAATTTTTCCCAATTTAAACCCCCTTTTTTAAAATTTTGGAAAAAAAAAAAAGGGGTTTTTTTTTTTCCCCCCCCCCCCCTTTTTTTCCAAAAACCCAAAAGGGGTTAAAAAACCTTTTTTTAAAACAACCCCTTTTTTTAAAAAATTTTTTTTTCCCCCAAAAAAAAAGAAAAACCCCCCCCCAAAAAATTTTTTTCCTTCCCTTTTTCCCCCTTTTTTTCCCCCCAAATTTAAAATTTTTTTTTTAAAAAAAAAAAAAAAATTTTTTTTTTAAAAAAATAATTTCCCCAAAAAAATTTAAACCCTTTACCCAAATTT